CCTTACATTTACATGTCTTTCATTTATTTAGCAGTTAGCACTTTCTAAAATAGCTTTTTTTTTTTTTGACAATGAAAAGATATTTAGGTCTTTTAATGCAATCTGACTACCACTACTCATTTTCTTTATCAGGAATATTACTGCACACCCTTAATAGGGAACCTTGTTTTGCTACTCCCCGTCTGTTCAAAACAGACCTTAGCCCATTAGAAGGTCCTCCCTTGTGTGGGAAGACCACAGCTGTTACTGTAAATCTCATCCAGTAACTGTATCACCCCCATTTTGTGGCTCTGAAGGATGAAATTGAGAAATGGAATACTGTGCAGTCATCCTTTACATCTCCAATTTTAGGCCTTTGCACATCATTTTCATGCTTTTATTCCAAATCAAACAACATTAGTGAGCAACACCACTCTGTGCTAAATGCCTGGTGTCTAAGCAGCACCTACAATCTTTGTTTTTGGAGGATTTAGGATTGAGAGGCAAGTTGGGGTTTTGTTGTTGGTGAGTTTTTTAAATTTTAGTTTTTTAATAAATAAATTCTTTTCTCTCCTTTCTCTCCCACCAAATCTTTCCCAGTCCCCAGAGTTTGTCAGAAGCAGAAATCCAGATGGCAGTGAGGTGCCTAAGATGGAGGATGCTCTGTTATGCCTCCAAAGAGGAAGTGGGAGCTCAGCATGGCTTACAAACACAACTTTAAAAAGGCTTCTGTTTCTTTAAATCCTTCTGAATAAAGTGGATCTAACTTCTTGTGAAGGATATTGGGGGCTTTAATCAGAAATAAGAAGTGGTTTAAATCATTAGCACAACAAAGCAAACTATAAGCTTGAAGATAAAAGTCTCAGGGGAAAGAGTCCTCTGAAAATAAATGGGACTTGATAGATTTCCATATCATTTATAACTTCCCTTAATTACACTTGGAAGACTTGCCAGTAAAACTGGAAAATTGGCAGCCTATATCCATTATAGTAATTTTGCCGACCATGGCAAGCAGCTGGCTTTACTGGATTTTATTTCCCATCACTCACAATTAATCATCAGCTGGAGATGTCTGAAACTCCTCAAAACGTAGCAATACTGTGTGACATTCAGGCCTCCTTAAAATGCTGAAATCTGCTGAGTAAATGGGCCGAGTTCCCCTTCCAGCGCACTCATTTTGGTGCGAGGCAGGCTGCCGGTTAATGAGTGCCACTTCGATAATCGGATGCGAATGTGAACCCTGACCTCATGTCAAAGGAGAGGACGCAGCAAGCTGGATAAAAGATCCGTGATTCAGATCTGCAAACTTTACACCAATTAGACGGAGAGGGGGAAATACATCAGCGCCCATTGGGTTTATCAGAAAGACTTGTGGGGCTTGTGACCATTTTGTAAGCCTAACATGGGAGACGTCCTGTCACAACCATTAAGTCTTTACCCAATGACACACCAAAGTCTGCAGAAAGTGCACCATATTCACAAAGATCCCGTGGCAGCCATGCCCTCGGGTGTGCGCTGTCTTTTCGTGCTCCCGAGCTCTGAAGAGCCCTGTCTGTGAGTGAGGATGTCTTTGTGCTCCTCACGTAGGTGCAGTGGGAGCAGGTCGGCGTTCCTGCTTCTCACATTCCGCTTCCACCCTGTGGCGCGAGTTGCTTGGTTGGGAAATGACTGGAGACAGTTCCCTGTCCTGTGTGTAACCTTTTGGCCAGCGGAAAGAACAACCACCGTGCTGTCCCTGAGTGACTCAAACAGCACCATTGACAGTCCCAAATTCACGTTGCAATTGGTCCCAAATTCTCATTGCAATTGTTAGCAGCATGTTAAGTACCCTCCTCTTCAATTATCTTTTTTCTTCTTTTTTTTTTCTTTCTCTTTTTTGTTTATTTTTCACTTTTCACTCTTTGAACTGCACCATGCAGAAATAAACTGCTAAAACGCAGACTGCAGGTCTAGCAGTTAATCACTCATTTATTTATAAAAGTCTATTTGTCTGTGGTGTAACTCTGTGGAACAGATACCTGACATTAATTTCTTTTAAGAAAAGGAGCCCTTTTACTTTACTTGGTTCAAAGAAATGAGATTTTTTTTTTGTTTGATTTTAGTTGCCTGTTTTGACAGATTTGGGTCATCACTGAGACCTCTCTAAATGGAAATGTAAAGATGGTGGTTTTCACTGGTTTACCATCCACTGAAAGAAATAAATTATAGAATGAAAATACAGCATTAAAAGTGGTCCAGATAAATCCTTAAATAAGTTAGACAGCAAGAACTTGTACACATCTCTGCAGTTTTCATTTGCGGGCTAAATAACAGGCAAAATGAAATGTGCAATTATAGAATGAAAGAAATTGGACAATGCCCAAAAGACTGAAAAAGAGGAAAGAGAGATACAAGTGCCTAATTTTAGGATTTGTCGCTTTTCAACACAATGAGTGGAGCTGTAAAGGTTTAACATAAGAACAGTAATTAAACTTCTGTTCTTAAGTGACACTTGCACCAAGATAATTTTCAACAAATTGCACATCATCAGAAGTACTGACACGGCATTTTCACATGTGGTACCTGCTGAAAGCACCTTCTTCCTTTCAAATTAGTAAGACTAGATGTTAACTGGATACTTTAACTATAAGTTTTGTGGGTTGAGAGGGTTGTTTCCTTCCCAGACACTGCGTGCTTTGTCATCAACCCCAGCATGCATTATATAAAACACAAAAACTTCATTTTTGAGAAGGAGGGGAAACTGAGAAGAAATTCAGACTAAGGGATATTTCCATCCCACAATCACTAACTCTTCCTGCCATTTTAGCACCATACTAGACCTACTGAGGCAATTCCATACTTTTCCCATAGATGTGTTTCCAGAACTCTGTTTAGGTAATTGCTGACTGGTTCATTTGCACACCATCCTCCTGATGAAGCCATGCCACAGTTAAATGTAACTGCTCTAGGAGAGAGTTTCTTGTGGCCTTGTAATTAGGCCACTGAATTCAGATCTGTTGTCCTTAGCATCTCAATCTTCAGCAACCTCTAGAGGCCTGTGTTCTTGGCTCTCTGATAGCAGAGCTTAACCAGAGGGTGGCAAAGTTGTTTCTGAAATGCATATTTTAATAACAGCACTATTAAAAAAAACAAAACTCTTCCAACAAAATTTCTTGCCTGTTTTTTTCCCCTTCTCTTTGAATCCAAAGATATTCATTGCTTCCTCATAACCTCAGAAATGTTTGGAAAGTTCAGAGCAGATGGAAGAGAAGTAATGAGGTAGGGAAAAGAAGAGGAGAAGAAGAAGGGCAAGGAAGAGTGAGCTGCTGGGACAAGGCTATGAGCAGAGAGCAGGTGTGGAAGGAAGGAGACAAAAGACAGGGAAAGGGAATAGAAGGGAAATAACTGGGGACAAGAACAAGTCTTTGCTACTATTCACCAAATTGGACACCTGCTAATGACTTAACTGCTTGCCTGAAGCTCAGGATGAGATTTCTGCAGGGTAAGTGTTGGGTTTTGGTTATTCTCTGTATCCAGGTAGTACACCATATTCCCATAGCAAATGCTTTCCACATTTTCCCTCCAAAACCTCTCATACTGTTGTTGCCAATCTGTTGGAGAAGGGGTGTGTAAGCACCTTTTAATGTAATGGGTTTTGTTTTGTTTTGTTTTGCTCAGAATCCATAGGCAGATATCAGTGCTTTTTAGTCAGTGAAAAAATAGCTTTACTTAAATTTTTGGAATGTTCTTCAGGCAATGTACATTTGATCTCTGACTTCACATCTGTCTGTTAATATATTCCTCCAAAGTGGTACACACTTGTCCTTAAATATGTATTATTCATTTTACATATAATTAGAGAAATATATCTATGTGTGTATATAAACAAACATTTTGTTGGCACTGGCACATATAACAGTGCATAAACCAGATTTCTGTAGGTTTCCCTGTTTCATGAAACTTGGACATCAGTGTGAAAGCCTCCCAAACTTGCTGAGATAAGGAGGGAATAGCAGACTCCATCTGAAATAGAGCCCAATGAAAAGATTTGCAGTGGCACTCGGAACCAGACATCCCATAGGAGTGTACAGGTCCTAAATCCTGGCATGTAGGTCCTGGCACCCTTCCTTCCCGGCATGCATCATCTCTGTGGAATGACCAGCTGATCACTGGCTTGCACTGGGTAAATTCCAAATCCCTTGTTCTGCCTCTGTGTTTAGGCAGCCTCCACAGCCACTGTCAAGCCTTGAGCAGCAGTTTCCTCTGTGCAAGGTGGTCCAAGACCCTGGAGGGAGGATCTGACTGGGAGGAACTGGGAGCCCAGCAGAGCAGCCCAGTGGGTTCCTAGTGACCTTGAGCTTGCACATGCCTGCTAGCAGGACACAAACAAACAGAAAGAGGAAACCTCAGTGTTTCCTTTGAAGAGCTCTGATCTGTGGTGAAAGTGATGCTTTTGTCTCTGTGGTTCCTCCCCTGTGGATGAGAAGTGGTGGCTCCTCACTGATGTGCTCCTTTCTGTCAGTCCAAAGTCATCAGCCACCATCAGAGGCTGCCATGTGCAGCGGTGACACATTCTCCTCAGCATCAGCCCACTGGGTCCTGCTGCACCTTCCAGCCCAAGCTCCCCTGGACACCTGCCAAGGAACTTCTGGCTTCTGAATCAGTATGAATATCATGCACCAGGGAAGCAAAGCAGAAGTTCCCTGGCCAAAAATGCACAAATTAGATTTTGCTCTGCATTTAATTGATGTTGAACTGTGGTGGTGTGAACTGTGGAATCTGGAACTGAATGGATGGGATGGGAAAGGAGCCTTTCAGGTTTGCCTGGGGTAATAGTTTTAAGCAGCTGATTTCCCCCTTATTTTGCTGCCAGTTTTGTGATTGCCATTTGTGTTGTGACTGTGTAACTGGCTGACTTGACTTGCGTCATGAAAGTCTTTATAGCATTTAATGAAATAATCCTTTTATTTTCCATAAGAATCATCACACTTGGAACATTTTGAATTCTCTATTCTCATTTTGTACTGCTTGAATTTCATCAGGTTTCGGAAGGTCAAGAGATTTGTGTAATTGAAGCAATGAAAATGCAGAACAGTATGATTGCTGCTAAAACAGGCAAGGTAAGCCACCTTAGGTCACTTAAAACCATATGCATCTTGTCAACAGGATAGAATTTAAAAAGGAAAAAAGGAGGATTCTGGTTGTTAAGGAATTAAGTCTGATTGTTGTAAGTCTTTCAAAGTGAGGTGTCTTTAATTTTGTAACATTTGCATCTGCTGTGAATGCTGTTAAGTAGTTCCGAACCTTAGATAGCACAGCAGGAAATAGTTTTACTGGCTTCGGAAATTCATATAACCCTTTCTCATAAATTATTTGTTTTCTGTGATGTTACAATGCCAAGTTGAATTGAAAGGTGTAGCAGACCATTTATCCAAATTTCATCTTTCCAGAGAAGAGAGATCTCTTTGCCAGTTAATTATTTAATGGCAAATAATTTGTCATTTAAAAAACCCACCCAGAACAAGGAATAGAAAGTTCTTTTGCAGGAGGGAGAAAACAGCAATTTTTTTATTATTGTGAATGTTAAGTATCAAGCCTAGATCTGCATATTTGTTAAACTTTGCAAGGCTATGCATTAGCCTCTCCTGCTTCTGAGGGATCAATATTGCAGCCCTGGAGCTGGGACTTTGCTGCAGTGTAGGATGTGCTAAAACCAGCACTCTAGGCAGGGAACTGGTTAAGCTTATGTGACAAGAGCATGCCCTAAACCCGAGTTGGTCTGAGGACTGTCAGACCTCAAGTTGGGACTTCAGAGCATCCCTGTGCCAGATTATAATTCCCAGCCTGAAACCATCACCTAGACGTGGGTCCCAGATCCATCCTTTGCAATGGGAGAGCATGGTGTGGACCTGGATGATACATTCTCCTCTGTTGCTGATTTCCTAACCTGCCCTGGCCCATCTCTGCCTGGGTCAAGCCCCCTCTGCTCTCTCTGAGGCACAAACCCCAGGGCAGGAGCCTTCAGCCCACATGGAGGCAGCAGGGAGCCTGACTGCGGCAGGGACAGGGCACTGGCAAGGTTTGCTGAGATCTCAGCATGGCTCTCAATGCCAAGGACTGTTTGTGTGTTTACAAGAAAGGCTTTTTTGGCACAGCTCTAAAATTGTCACCCAGGCTGGGTCCCAGACTTGCCTCTTCCAGTGCATCCAGTGCAAAATTGGGTCTCAAGAGAAAAAAATACTGAGAGAAGGAGTATGTTCCAGTTCCTTTTGCTCTAACATTGCCACTTTATTATTTTATTTCATGCATTAATTTCTATATAATTTATTTTCTCACTTGATTAATATTTCCAAGCATTTTGTTTTTCATCTGCCGTTATTTAACCCCTTACTGCTGCTCTTTGCATCCACTGGTTTTAACTAGTATTTGTAATTGAAATGCCATTTCCTCTCCCACCCACCCCATTTATTTTTCACTTTAACCTTCCCTTTTCCACCAAGGTCTTCTGCAATCCATGTGTCTGTTCCTTACCATCCTGCTTGTACTTCTAATAATAATACTTCTAATAATATTTCCCACTCACTCAGTACAGATGCCACATTAAACCTGTGTTTGGTTTTTTAATCCTCCAAGGTAGGATGTGAAAGGTGCACAGGCCATTCAGGAGGTCTCATGTGCCTTGCAATGTCCTCTTGGTGTGCCCATTTTCATGGCAAGCACATTATTTGACCTTTAGAATGTTAAGAATTTGCATGAGCACAAAGGTTTTGGGCTGTGTAGAAATGAAGCTGCTAAACAGGATTCATCCTGTTCTGCAGTGCAAAGTCATGGCTCTGAGTGCTAAAATAACTTGGCCTCTCCACAGGAATGGGATGTTTGGCACAGGCTGTTAGTCCATGTTTTGATGCTTTGAAACTGTGTTTTGAAACTCAGTTCATTTGTCTTCAGCTGGAAGACGTTCCCATTTTCATTCCTGACTTGGATTCCTTTTCTGTATCAAACCCCATCTTCCTGTTTGGAATTGAGAGAAAAGTGGCTTGTTTTTATCTACTTTGAGTTTACTCCAGCTGCAGGTGGCTTAAAAATGAGAGAAAGCTGGAGATGAACTGGCGAGCCTCCTGTCTTCTCCAGGACAGCTGCGCCTGGGTCAGCACAAGGAGCGGCCCCGCTGCATGGCACAAATTGCTGGGGAGTTTGAAGCACTGGTTAACTCTGATGTTTGCTGAACCTTGGCTTTGTGGAAAAAGAAAAGCAAGGGGTAGAATGTTTTTCACACTGCTTTCATCTCCTAGAAGACTGAGGCTCAGCAATTGGGTACGCTGCCCAGCTACTGATTTAGAAACGAAGCCCTTGTTTGTACGTACCACGCTGTCTTTGCCCGTGCTCAGCATCGTTTCTGGAGCAGGGCTGTGAGTGTGCCTGTGCTCCAGAGATCTGCTTGCAGCTCACCTGGCTTCAGACTGTCAAATGTGGATGTGGGCAGCAGCGTGTCCATCATAGCCTGGTACTTGGGGTATGCTGTGCATTTCCTCCAGGAGCCCAGGGTGTTTGGATGATTAAAATGAACTATCTGCTGAACAAGGATTTGGGATGTCAGTAGGAGCTCTGAATTTATACTGGAAGCAAGCTCTACACAGCTTCAAATATTTTCTGTTGCTTCATGTGCTGAAAGGGAATTCAAACATGTCGCAGCCTTTTATAGAGGAAATAAGGGACTAGTGTAAGATGTTTGTGTTTTAAAATTCAGGAACCTGTATGGGACTATGTAATCCATCTACAGATACAGCTGCACTTATTTGACTGTGGTAGCCCTTTGCCAAGTTCAGTTATGTTAAAGGATCCCAATTCAGATTTGAATCATCTATCCCAACTCTCTGGAGAGAGAGAAACCCAGTTCATGGCTGCAGGTCCAAAATTCTGCTATATTTCAAAACTGTAATAAAAGAAATGGTGGGATATTTCATTGCAACTTCCCATCATGAGTATTGAAGAATCGGCCTGTCCTCTATTTAAAACAAATAAACAGCAGTGCAACCAGGTGAAAAAAAGGTGCATTTCATTTTAAAAAGTGGCATCTCTATCTGACATTCAGGTCTTCAAGCATCTCTGTTGCAAGCAAACCTAATGGTAGGTACTTGAATACCCTGATGGGGCTGGACACCATTTGTCAAGCACTGGTACTCAAATCTCAGCTGGGCTCTGAGCACTGGAGGTCGAGCACTCAGCGTCTCGAGGCCCTGGCAGCACAGGTGGATCTGTGTCCCTGGGGTGTCCTCAGGCTGCACAGCGGCCATCACCCCGTGCATGCAGACACAGTGCTCTGGGCAATACAAACCACATCAGCCAAGCCATCTCACCAGGCTATCAAAGCAGGGTTTAAATTCTGCTGTTTCTGTACCCTAGGTAAAAGCTGTGCACTGCAAAGCTGGTGACACCGTTGGAGAAGAAGATCTGCTGGTGGAACTGGAATGAAAGGTTGCCTCCACACTGTTGAATTAACTAAGCCTTTATTGTTTTTATCTGCAAAGTAACATTAAGACAATTCAACACAGAAAACAGACAGTACTATGCACAAGATTTTATACAGGCATATTTACTGTATCAGTGGTTAAGACAGCAAACACAGATGTTAAATCTTGGCAACAGATCCCAGATTTTTACTTCCAGAAATACTTGTACATAACCTTTGTAATGCTTTGATTTTTCAGGATCAAATAAAATCAATAAAATACCATTTCTGCTTTGAAACAGGAAAAGCCTCTTTTTAAAAAAAAACCCAAAGAAAACACAACAAAAGCCAAAATCTGATTTGTCTTCTCCACAGCAATGTCCCTGGTTTGAGGCCCCAGCCAGGCTGTACAGAATGGCTGGCAAGAATGAAAAATTAACCACTGAGCAAACTGAGCAGTTCTCCTTTACTCTGTAGAAGTGCTGCACAAGTACCACCAATGGCTTAAATTCTGATCATATTTATTTTGAATTAGGATATATATTTATTGAATTATTACTTATTAACTAATAATAAATTATTATAGAATTACTTATATTTTAAATACTTCTATATTATTATATTTTTAATGCTTTGTATAGATTAGATTTAAATTACATCTTAGAGACTTTATTTTGCTAGTGCAGACATTTGTAATGTATTTTCATTTAAAGTTGTAAGGGAATTGTCTTCTTATATTCAAACTCCATACTCAATTTCCCCACCCTTATCTTCTTGATACTGATTACTGGATGCTTTTACAGAAGGAGCTGCCACTGTTCTCAGAGGTCTTTAGCTGTACCCAAGGTACTGCTGAGAGCACATGTTGTCCCTCAGACCAGGCCTCCTCCTGAATGCTCACAGGGAAGGGAGACAAAGGGACCCTGGCCACTGCCCCAGAGTGGAGCACGCTTGCTCTCATTTGCTTGCCCAGGGTGGGCAGGGTCCTGCTACTTCCCAGAAAGAAACCCTCTGGCCAGAGGTGCCTGGGCCCTTTACTGGAAGGTGAAGGGATGAAAACAGTTGGTGACAGGGGTGGTGACTCATGTTCAACCAGGAAAGTTTGATTCTGCTTGAAACTTCTGACTGAAGAGGCATTCTTCCTGTTATTGAGACACTGCTAATTAGCTACATCACATGGTCGAGGGGGAATATGTCCAGGGATCTGCTTAGGGAATTAGTTTATAAAACTCATCAAGATGAGGAAGGAGAGTGTTTGGATAGTACCTGCCTTCCAGAAAAATTAATGCTTTTGCAGTTGGAGAAACTGAGGCAGGCACCCTGCAGATCTCCTTACAAGTCTCCTTAGTGCCATCTTACCCCTTCCCAAAGGAGCACGGTTCAGTCTCTGCAGGTTGCCCTACACAGACAAGTACTGTAAAGAGACACAAGTATTCTATAGCAAGTTACTTGTTTTGCTTCTTACAGCAACATAAAAGCTTTTCTAAATGAGATGCACCAGTGCCTACTACTGCTAAAGTTTAGGCTGATTCCCTACCCCGGATCTCCTCTGGCCATCACAGGGCTACTGGCAGTGAAGCAAAAGTACAATATTGTTCTTAATTGTATCCTTGCTGCATTTGATGGTACTTTGGCTCACTGCATGGCACACAATGCCTGCTCCCATCCCTTTGGCAGCTTTACACTCTATCTGTACCAAACACTGCAGCCGGAGGAAAATATAAGGCACAGGATTGTAACAACAGAAAGCCATGGTTTTTCCAGACTGTACAGAAACCAGCCCAGTTGGTTGGGTCAGGGGCACAACAGTCTTCTTTACATATTTTTTTCCCAATTTAAATGTTGCAATAATCACAATACATGTCCTTTGGATATTTTTATAATGTATATACAATTTTTTCTCCCCTTAAGAAACTCAGTTTGCATATGGTTGCAACTTCTGCATTAAAATGCTTGGCAAAAAGTCACCTTGACAGTAAGTGTTCACAACAGCTCCAGTGTAGATTTGCTTTCTCTGGTCCCCAACAGCCCCCAAAACAGACACACACACACAGGCACACAGAGACACACAACCCGCAAATCCTACAGTCATTCAGTGAATGGAAGCAGAACCCAAAGTGCTTAGAATGTAAAATTAAAAATACAGTCTTAAATGTAAATCTTTTATATTCGCTCAGTATTTCTTGACAGTGCCTTTTAAAACTAAACATGGTTTAAAAATACACCTTTCCAGTTCAGAAAAAAACCTCATTGCAATGAATAATCTTTAAGCATAATCTTTATATTTTCTCCAGCAATTTCCTATTTGTCTTGAAGCACCAAGTTATCTGATCAGCTTTCCCTGTTTACATGCAGTAGCCTACTAAACCCATTACAAGTCAATATTCAATAGGAGTTGTGCTTTACTTTGCAGACATTTAAATCAGTTTCAAATTTTCTCAATTCAGGGAAAAAAAATTTGTTTCCCTGCCTTTCACTGACCTCCATTATTATGCACCAAGGCAAAGGGGGAAGTTGAGGGAATAATTAGACCCCAGACCCGATGTGCACATAGAGTTATTTGACACCTGGTGCAAACCCAGTTACCTGCAGCAGGCTGGGGGGGCCAGGACGACACTGACTGCCTGGGGAGGAGTCTGCAGCTCTGGGCCTACAGGACTTCAACGCTAGCGCCAAGGCTCCTGGGTTGGGAAGGTTACAAGAGCTCCTGCATTTTAATAACAAGGTATTACAGCTTTCCTGGAAAGGTTACCGAGCAACACCTGCTTAGCACTATGTCTTCGGCCAGGCCGCGTCACCTCCCGTTTCTATTCCCGGCTTTCCCGTAGCACGTAGGAGAGGCCGTGCTTCCCCGAGGAGTCGTAACTGTCATGGTAGGGGAGCCCGACCCACTCGGGCGGGTACGTGGCCGTGCTGTACACGAAGCACTCCAGGACGCCGTCGGCCCGCGCCTCTCCCGCGCCGCCCTTCCCCTCCCACTCCACCACTTGGATCCTCATCAGGGTGCGCTGGTACATGTCGGGGCAGCCTTCAAACTCATCCAGGAACTGCAGCATCTGCTCGTCGACAGAGTAAATCTCCCCAGCAATGTGGTGGCCTGTCCCTGGGATGTTCAGCATGTAAGGAATATTGTATTTCCCTGCAATCACCAGTGGGTACTTCTCCACCGTGTGGCCCCTTCCTTGGAATTTCGCCAGGCCTTTGGCCGTGTTGATCATGTGCTTGTAGTTGGGCTGGCCCTTCTTGAGCGTGCCGTAGACGAAGACACGGGCCATCGTACTTGCGAAAGCAGCTGAAAGACAAAGAGGTACGTTAGCCACAGGCCAGTGCTCTGGAGAGCCACGGCCACACAAAAGGCTGTTCTGGCACGTGCAAAAGTGGTCTCATAGCCCTACACCACATTAAGTATCATACTCAATTCAAGTACCTTGAAACTTTTCAGACAACTGCATCAGTGAAAAACGGAGGCCAGGAGAAAGTCAGCCTTCTGCAGTTCTTTGCTGTAGCCAAATTACATTCTCTAAGGAATCCCAAACATCAGCCAACACATTCCTGACCCCCAGGAAAAGCTCTAAATCTTTCTTAATTTTTCTGTCTCTCACCATTATGGGAGGTGTGCTGCAGCAAGTGTGTGGTGTTGTGCTCAGTGATTCCCCAAATGCAAATGTAACCTGTTGTGGAGTAATCTCATGGATGTGCTGGTGGATTTGCAATAATGCCAGCAGTGAGGTCCTGCTTGCTGAGTGACAGACAAATGCTGAACAGCAAGCTGTGGGGCCAAGGGAGAAACCTGGTAAAGCCATGTTCCTCCTCTCTTCCCCAGACAGACATCCCAAAGTGTTAAATCACCTCAAGTAGCTGGTCTGCACATCTGTGAGCCCCCTCTTGGAAACAGAGCCTGAAGGACCATTTGTTCTATCTGTGAGCATGAAACACTCAAAATTGGTTTAAATGGGGTAAAAGACTGGCTTTACTGAAACATAACAGGAGGGAAAGGTACCTTCACAGTTCCTGCATTATTTTTTCACATGGTGCTGTGTTTGTCCTCCATAATTTCTGTAGGGTAGAAGCAGTTCTTGCACTGTGATGTTTTCCCTCATTTTACCTGTGGTCACTGACTGGGCAGAGCCTGCCTCATCCACAGTCATCTGGCTGGGCCAGACACCCAATATCAGAGGAGCCAGTGCAACTCCTCTTGGAACGAGTGTCATTAAATGATGTATTTCAAGTTTGAGAAATATTTAAAAACAGACTGGAAGTAGAAATTTAATCTATTTTCTGCAATTTACTCTTATTTTAGTAAACTGTTAGGTTTGGTCAGTTACCCAAAAGGGTGTGTTGCTGGCTGAGAACAGTGTCATTTAAAAATCCTCAGTAGCCAAGCAATTTCCCCTTTGGTGAAGCAAACGTTTTTTCTCTGTATCAAAATACAGCTTTCCAAGCAAAAACAGTGTGTGCCTTCATTTACTGGCAAACTGCTTTCACTTAGGGGAATAAGAACACACTGATTTTTCCCCGTATTTTATCAGATATACTTCAGAGTAATTTATCCTTCATTACATAAACGAGCTTTTTTCTTGGATGCAGCTCATTCCCTCACAATAAAAAGAGCATTAATATTCAGTCGGCCCGAGTCTCTTTTATAAGAAAAATCATTACCTTTCAGATTGTGTTTTGAATAACAAACACAGATCCTTCAGGAAGAAACTTGTCCCAGTGGGGATTGAGAAAGGATCAGAGTTAAGCATTGAAACATGCAATTAATTCCCATTAGGGGATTAGGGCACTCGTGTTCACTTTGAATCAGAAAAATGAATTGTGAATTAAATTGTTCACAACCAAGAGGTTACTTGTCAGAGTTAATAAGTTAAAAAATAAAAAGGGAAACCTAAAACGCACATAAAAAGCTCTATAGTGAGTGGTGCATCTGTAAGGAAAAGGTACGCTTCACTTCCATTAAACAAAAGCCCTGTCCCTACTGTACAGCTGGAGATAAGCTTCCAAAAAGTTCACAGAGAAGAGTGTCACCATTTCCTGAAACTGGTAAAAACAACTTCCCTGTTTCTGACGGCACAGCAGCTGGCTGCTGGGAAACATCACCCATTTAAAGAAAGGCACCCATCATCCCAGTGCAGAATTCAATAGCAACAAAGGAACTTGCTAACCCAGGTTTGGGCAAGTGTTTCTGATTTAGCCTTTGAGCAGATTGATTCAGCAGGCAGTGCAAACAGAGGTGGAGGGGGAAGCTGAAGTTTCAGCCACAGCTCCCTGTGGCACTTCTGTGCCCCACAGCGGCCCTGTCACTCACACTGGAT